TCAGGAGGGTAGAGCCCCCTTCTAGCCTAGCGGGGTACAGGGGGGTCTTCCCCAGGGTACAAGGGTTATTCCCAGAAAACGGTTTTTGGTAAAAGGACATTCAATTGTATAAAAATATACGTAACATGATGATGGACATAAGCAAAACAATTGTTTTCCCGGCACCTTGTATCGGCTATCGCCCCGTACAGGCAACATCTGGCAGGCCTTGTCGCCTTGAGGTAAGTGTGCCGACATCTAACCCTGTGCTGTCAAGCTGGCACAGCTTGACGGATATCGGTGTAGGGACTGCCGTTTTTCACTCACATTGACATCGTCAAGATGAGCCTATTGCCATTGCTAGGGGCGCTTGCTCCGTCGTTACGTCCGTCCGTTCGTCAACATTTGGCCTACGCCGGCAACGATTACTGAGAACGTGTTTGACCCACAGCTGTTCAAATTGCATACAGTTGTTAACTCCATGGAGCAGATTTTGCCACGTCCTATTTGGAGCACGCCAGTCGACCTACGCTTCGAGCACGCCGCACTTTTTGGCAAAAATGAAACATGGCCATCTAGATTCAAATTCGTATTTTTGCTTAAATTTTACCTACCCTACCTATCATACCTGTACGTTGTTGTATTGTTTTAGCATTCTTCGTTACAGTAATTTGACTGGAATATTTAATTGACTTTTATTCTGCCGCAATATTGAAAACCAAAATGCGCCAATCATTTAGGCGTAGCGCCATCCCCCCCCCCCGCCCCCCCCTTCTCTCGCCCAGATTTCATTACTTTCAGATCTGAAACAATTTATTTTTCGCAAGAGATCAAAACTAACCGTGAAGCCCAAAACAGGTGAAATTTCTATATAGTATAAAACAGGGAATAAGGGAACATTTGATCACTTTCGTCCATCATAAAATGAAACACTTACCAAATTTTCACGATATCAATCTCCCGCGATTTCTATCACACCCCCAAGGTGGAGCTATAGTGTCATGACACTTTCATTTCTCCAATAGCCATGACTGCATTCTAATTAGATATTCAGCCGAGCTTTTGCTAATTATGCGCCTTGTTCCATTAAAGCTAGCTGCCTCTGCAATCACTGTGACAAGATTCGTATGCAGAATGAAACAATGCATAAAGCCGGAACAATTCCAATGAAACAATCAGTGCATGCTCACTGTTGATTGCCAGGCAAGCTTACCGTCATTCGTAAAACGATGCAAGCCGGACAGGGAAACTAGTTGCGCGTGCGCGGCGCAAAAAGCTAGAACATGCGACTACGCGCTGCAAACTAAGCATTTTCTAGTCGCTGAGCATCGCCCAGACCCGTCGCTGGCAGTCGGCAGGGTGGTTGCCCTTAGTCGAACTGCCCCCTGCCCCGGACGCTATCGTCGCAGCCCGAATTGCCCAACCAGCTTTGGCAGAAAAAATCAGCTCGCAGGCAATCGCGCGTCGCATCTTAGCTATCCAGAGCCTACTTATATTAACTGATTATGTAAGCTATAATTATTAAGCATATAAGTAAATAAGTGCTTTCTAGTTTTTCTAATTTCTATGCCTACCCAGATGAAGCTTTACAAAAAAGTGAATTGCATATCACACTCAGGCTACAGAAGTACAGTGCACCTGTGACCTTGCTGATAATGTGGCCTACGTACGTGGGTCCCGGGGTGGGGATAGTTAGCCTGTGGGTACGTGGTTTATCGTAGTAGTGCCAGCGGTTTTGCCCTAGTCTAAGAAGACATGCTCCCACAAGTTTAACGTAGCGTTTACGAACACCCATGTCGCCGCTGAGTTTGGTTAGCGGTTAGGCGTTAGGCGTTTTTAAACCTGGGGTTTTGTCAAATAAGGAATGTGGCCCAATCAAGTATGTAGTTTTGGGACCTATCAATTAGCGACAATTAATTCTGCCAATTTTCTAATACTAATCAAGTAATCAGTACAACCGCCGGCATTGCCCTTTAGTACTTCTACTACTTGACAGGCCAGCGAGGGCCAATATCACAGCAGCAGCAGAGCACACATAGCATAAATTCTAATTAGCATTGTGCAGAAAAGATCATAAATTTATACATAAATAAAATTCCAGCCACTAGCACTACGACGATAACTAATTACTGCAAATAATTGACTACAGATGGCGGCTACATGTCTATGGTAGAAAGGTCATGCCACTTCTATTTTTCATATCTACAGTAAAATAACTTAAAATGTTGTTTACAATGTTAAAACATACCAACATAAAATGTCCGTAATAAATGACTGAGCAAAGTACTAGTGATTCACTAAACCTAATGCTGCTTATAAAATTACATAATACGGCATCGGTGTATTGATCATTGCTTATACGAGCAGTTCGTTCAAGATCCCGGACAACGTGGCAGCCGGGTTTTCTCGCGCAGATCTACTGGCGTGTGCTCACATGTGACCGAAAAGATGCGGACCAAAATTTTCGCCACAACCATGGCCCCGCCAAATTTGGTATGTATACACTTAAATTTGATCAAAATACTACTTACCGTTCAACAAAGTGTGTTTACCCTAGCTCCATATTGCAAAGCAAAGCAAGTTGACTCTAACATTACTGTAGCCAGTCCGAAATTCCCTAATTTCTTCACGAAGCCGTAAAATACTCAGTGAATACGTAATGTAGTTTTCCAGGTATGTGCCGCCATTTACGAAAAAATCTGTGTCCAAATTCTATCTGGTTGACCCTGGCAGGCATATTTACGAAGGTTACATGTCTAAAAGCATGCCGGTTCAAGTTCGGCTACGGTGCAATACGCTTCAGTATAAGTTAAAATCTTCGGTTAACAGGAAACGGCCAACGCTTTCCAAGAGGTTGAGCTGTTAATCACGATGTAAACACACTGACTGGTAAAGGGTGTTTTGGATTATATTTCAAGATTTCACAGCAATTTGACATCTTGATATTGGTATTTACCATACTAAAATTTTGTGTATAAATTTACGATGTAACGTCTTCTTTACAAGCTAAATGGTACTGGTTGTAAGAATTACCCCGTAAATGTAGTCATTTCTGTATACAGCATCTACTGCCCGTGTTGCCCAATAAGTAAATGTACCTGCTGATAAGTCACTTGAAAATCTTGGTCCTGGGTAGCCTTTCTCTCTTCACACACTCGTATATATCCGTAGTTTAGTAATTTTATAATAATTTAGCGCTAGTTCGATAAATTAGTTAATTGAAATGCAACAGTAGCCATCAATGAAAGATCACCACATAGACTGTCATCTAACACACCTGATCTTTGGCAGATTGCCAAAGGCCATTCACCTACGATAATCATGGTTATAAAGTATTTTCTCTGGGTATTTTGTAAAATGAATTTAATGGCAGTCTTTTGTTGTGTTGGGCTACAATATGACATATAAGCGATAAAATTTGATCGTAAATGGCCACTTTTTGGTGGAACTTCATGCACGTTTGTGTACATGTGTTTTAACAATGGCCTGTTTGCATTGATTAGCTCGCAAGTGTTCATTTGGAATAAATATTTTACGCGTTCATATAGTGTAATATTATTTTTGCCCGTAAACAGATTAACCTTTTTTATACTATCTATGTGGCTCTGTGTATACTTAGTATGTATATTGTAATCTGCCAGATGTGGCATCGTTAAAGCCCATCGTGTCGACACCTAAACCCACGTCGACCGACCTTGTCGGGTAAATGCTTAGGTCCGGTCGGCATTCACAACCAGAGTGCTAGTAGCCCGACTGTTCGCTGTTATAGAACTTGGTTCATATTATAATTGCCACTGAAAGGTCACCTTCTGGCTAGACTGGTTCGCGGCGGCCACTGTTTTCGCCAGAGCGCTGGTACATTGTCTGAGCACAGAGCGTAGGCCCAAGGATGACCAGTCAAAACCCTTCGGCAAAAACATACGTGGTTTGCTGCTAGGCCGCAGTAGACGATCGATAACACCATGTCGCGCTGCCTCCTGCTATGCCGTGGTTAGAATGCCCCCGAATGCTGCACCCTGATATTGGCCACGCGCCGATTTAAGCGCGCGGAAACAGCATCTTATGAAATTCATACGGCATGACACAAGCTTCTTACTAAATAAAGCTTATCATAACAATGCGTCTGGCGTCTGGCGGCCTCGGGCTAGTGAAGTTATAGCGTCAGCGGGCCTAGTAAGTTTTTCCTCAAGTTACTTAGCACGATGGTACTAGGTTCTTATGCGGGTTATATCAGTTAACTTTTGAGTGGGTTAAATAATTCGGCTACCATAAAAACGTTATCAGATGGTCTCTACATCACCGATTAAAATATTTTTTGTAATGTTTTAAAACTAACGACTCACAGTTTGATTACAACGGCCAGGTGGCCGCACTCAAAGCGTGACGATATGAAAGAGTCTGTGCAAAACAGACTTTCAGACCAAGGGCTACAGAGAGCGGTGTGGTTTCTTATTTATACAATTTAAAAGCAAAAGGATTGTACTATCTTAGTAAAACACATAATAGTTTCAGTCATATAATGGATAAATTTGTCCTAAAATGAACATCGTTCGGTTAAATAGCATTTAGGTATAAATATAATTGCACCTTTGTGATTAGCCCTCGGTCTGTAACGTGCAAAATATGTTGGGAAATGCGCAACTTTTTCAGGGTGGTAGCACGGTCGCGGGTGTCAATGGCGCCGTTTAAATTTTGTAGCGTTGATGTATAATTAATTATAACAATTAAATTAGGTATCTGACCAACAAATACGTGTGGGTATAGACGATTTGTTATACAGTAAGTACAGTTGTATACAGTAAAATCCTAGAGTCAAGTATCCCTTTAAATATGTCATTAAGCTTAGTTAACAACGGTATAACATAATATTTACAAGGGTGACTATCGTACATTATTACAACTTTAATAAAATAACGTTGTCACAGATAAATGAACACAAAAAATTCTGATACTATATTTTTTGTCTGTTCACTATGTCAAGTGCATTTATTTGATATTCTGTGTATTGTTATTTTATTCAGGAGGTGTAAATATATGATGTCATCACAGATTTAGTCGATGTACCATGTAGACTTGTCGGATGACAGGAATGGGGTGCACAATATTAGGAAATTAGGGTCCTGGTGCCACTCTGTACTGCCCAACAGCATGTCGGCCACCAAGCTGAAGCGACTGCTCAAGCTCGATGATATTAGAGGTAAGGATTTCCATGGAAACAATCGCAACAAATTGTAATGAGGTTGTGATCATGAGACTCTTCATGTGTCACCAGGTGCGCCACGTTCACTGTTGCGGTGATCTGGCTTGTATTTAATTATGTGACAATATCGTATCTCTGGTAGCTCCTTTTGTATATTTTAATGGCTATGGATTCATCTTGAAGATGGTGACTAATATAGTCAAAATCTATTGTTGAATGCTATCTAACTAGAACTAATAACTATAAGTAGCTTGGTGGATTGCAAATTATCTCTCTAAGTCGACTAAGTCTTTAGTCGACTGATTTGTACAAAATATAAAAAGTGCAAGTTTAATCCACATCGGTCAGTAGAAAGATTTTAATACCAGAATATAGATTACTTATATAGGTTACGTTTCCTATCACTATCAGCGTATGCTGTGTCAGGTCTGCTAGGAAAAACGTTACATGCTAGTTTTGTGGATTTACCATTGCAGGGGCATCCAAGGGTGATGGTGAGGATTCTGTCGAGGAGAATGACAGAAATGGTATGTTTTTTAGCTATAAGAAGAATACCTATATATTTGATGATAAATTTGAAGCATCTGCAACATATTTAACAAGCTGTGTATGGTGTCTTACTTGAGGTACATTGTTTCTAAATCGTTGAACTGCTCACAGTCAATGGTGTATCGTATGTTACTTTGTGAGAGAACAAAATTTTATTTGACGATTATGTTATGTAATTAAGCATTTCATATATCCTTTCTATTGTAGCCATGATGTATAACCAGAATAAGGAGTAAAAATGAGTTTAAGTTGATTTGAGTTTTAGTGATATCTATAAACTGTCTAATTTTTACAATTTTTTATGCTAGTATCAAAACGTAAATAACCGAAGCATTCGTATGGTTTTTAGTTGCCTCTGTGATATTTAAAACACGTCTTTATGTTGGGTCTATGAATGTTGAAAATCAAATCTTCTGCCAAACCGGCCACCTGGCGGGAAAACGGCCTGTGACATAAGGGCAGGTTCTTCCCGCGTTGCATCGCACACAAAGCCTGCATCAGTGACAGTGCATGAGCACAAAGCTATCCTCGACTGTAACTTATAATATTTTTTTGGCAGTATGTCGTGACTCATATTCGGCGTAAACATCCAACTGCCATATTAATTATCATGAGCATGAGTAGGAGGAGTAGATAATAGGGAAGGAGTGTGACTTCAATAAACAAGGGAAATTCGTCATTTACTAGCCTTATAATACCTACGATTTACTACGCGTAACTCATCCAACTTGATCTCACTCACCTTCGTGGTACTGATATTCGTTTACATATATTTGCTAGCGTATTGCTGTAAATCGTATTCTTGCACGAGCTGAATTCGCACGATTTACCGCTATTGTGGTTAGGTGTTTAGACAACTTGAGAAGCTGTAGTGGCGCCAATATTTAGCAACGGACGGTTTCCAAATCATTCGTGCCCCGATAGCGGTTTAATGTACTTGATTACCTGCGCGTGCGTAATGTGATACTTACTGCAAACTACTACAGAGAATATTCTTATTATTGTATTATTACTTATGTAAGATAGTATGTCAATTTCTTGTGTTGCGATCACAATAACTGAGCGCGGCTCGCGGTTCCTCACGAGATCAAAATTCGAAATTTAGGTTGTCTCTCAACCCTATCGGGGCACAAATGATTTGGAAACCGTCCGTTGCTAAATATTGGCGCCCCGATAGCTTCATAAATTATCTTGAGAGGTCACAACAAGGCGCCATTTTAGCGGTAAATCGTGCGAATTCAGCTCGTGCAAGATTATGATTTACAGCAATACGCTAGCAAATATATGTAAACGAATATCAGTACCACGAAGGTGAGTGATTAGTGGTCATAATAAGCTGAGGAACGTATACACTTGCTTCTTTATTGGTGGCAAATTTTGATGTGAAAAATCGGTTAAAAATGCGGGAATCGGGTGTCTCACTCTTGTTATATTATCTACTCTTGATGCATATATCAATTATTATACTCATGCTGTATACACTGAGTTGCTTACGATACAAGTACTAAATGCACATTGCACGTGAAATAACATTGTTACTATTATCAAGTGCATAAATTCTACGTAAGTCCTGTCTTATGACTACCACTACGCTAAAACATTTACTATTGACTATTGTCAGCTTTGCTTTTCATTAGTCAGGCCTACTGAGGCTACTCTCTTTAGAAAATTAGTCACTATAAAGTCAGTACTGTAGAATGGGAAATCTGACAGTTGCATAATCTGTTGGAAAAAACTTGGCTAGGCCTATTTAGCTTGTACCGAAAGCAAAAACATTTCATTATGTACACCTAGTACCTACAATGAAATACTGAGCTAAACTCACCATTCAGCAACACTTCCATTCAGCAGTCTTCCTTCTGGTTCGACGTTGCCTTGAACATCATCATGAACGATGCCTGGGTAATCGTTGGCCAACGGTTCAAACATGTACGGCTGAATACAACTATCTTCAACATGTTCAACTTCATTGTCTATGTCTACTTCATTTTTATCTTCATCAATGCTGATTGACTGCTCATCCGTATCGTACGAAACTGATAAGTCTAGAGACGACTCTGAATCGTTGTTCACATTAGGCTCCATTGTACACGCTTGGCAACGGGTAAACGAGAGTGCCTGCTCCCATGTCACACTACGTGACACGCCAAAGTAGGTGGCGCTTTTGCGTTCCCGCAAATTCTTAACATTGTGTCCATCAAAAAATTCGTTTTTCTCATACACCCGAAAACCATTCAACCTGTAAATTTCTTAGTAGTTGTACATAACATAGTTAATTTGATATATGTAACTATTTTTCATCACTAAAGGAGGCCTTTAAAGCACATAGAATTCCAGTGAATTTACTAACTACCGTCAGCTGTGTTTAGAATCGTTATTGCTTTTTGATGCCATTTAATATACATCATTTATTGGTTCATTTTGAAATTGTATTCGTGCAGGCAGTGTATAAATGCAAAGGATACTATAATACTTGTATTAACTATAATAAAAATCTATATATCTGTGCAGTTACTAGAAATTCCTCTACAACATTTTTATCAATTGTCTGCAGGTTCCTCCTCTTCGTCGTACAAGTCTGTGTACATCGAGAAGCCTACGAAAAACAAGTCTCACTCCAAGTTTGACTATGGCATGAAGCAGGCAGAGCAGCCAGCAGAGGTATGTCGTTATGTGCTGTCAGGGTAGGCGCCTATACGCGTTCAGTTTTTGCATTCGTTAAGAGCCGTGCTGTATTCACCGCAGCAACATTCTCATTGTGTGAACCCTGCCATAACTTGCTTGCATCGGTGCGATAATCGGTGGCGGCGTTTTCAAACGTCGATTGCAATGAGAAGCCATGAATATTGTGTTAGTCAAGTAAAGTACTCATCCTCGCTCGTCTCCCTCTCTCTCTCTCTCTCTCGACCACAGCTTTTCCGGAAGGACTTAATTAGTGCAATGAAGCTGGCTGATTCTGAACAACTGCTTCCGGACGAGTACTGGCTAGTCAATGACACCTGGAGACAGGAGTGGGAGAAGGGCGTTCAAGTTCCCGTCAACCCAGAGGATCTGCCTGAAGCAGTTTGCAGGTTAGCATTGAAGTCTGGCTGTCAACGATTTACTGGACGCGGCGAGTCTTAGGATTTTTTTCGCACGTGTGTTTGTTTACTAATCTCAGTGTTAGCATCACTGATAATAGATGCACGTTATACAGGTTATCTGAACTGGTATTAATTGTAAGCACCACTAAGCACCGAATTTAACCAAATACCGTTTGTAATTTAAAAAACAAATTTCTTACTGCAGCGAGTTTATGCATGAAATCAACTCGTGTGTGTATTGTAAGCATTTAGTATTGATGCAAATATGGCCAACCTCTTGTGGAAGTCCCTATCATCAACATAGTTTTGCTGTTTTAATTGCATGACAGGTGCCTTAATAATCTATTTTGTTTGTACGGAAGCATTGCTTCTCTTTCCAGGTTGACCGACCAGCACAATTTGAGATGTGACTTCCGATTGTAAGTACACGCATAGCATACGGCCATGTTGCACGCTTTATTCCTGCTTCATGAAATTTATTTAAAATCGCTGTCTGTTGTTAATTGACGTGATTATGCTAATTATAGTAGTGGGTGCAACATCAAGATGTGTAATGGAACGTTAGTTCTTGATAGTCGATATTCGTAACCGAGCGTCATTTTTTGACCGTTGAGATTCGTGATTTAGCTCTGTTCGTTGATGGTCGAGATTTGTTTTGCGATTGCCGGCGTTGTCGCGGCGTCATCGGGGGCCTCACTGCTCACGTGTCTACCTGTTGCAGACCGAAGAAGCTGGTGCGGACAACTCACGACGAGTTCTTCCGAACGGAGCTGCATCATCTGGAGACGGTCACCGAGCGGGCGGAGAAGACATGTCGCTACGACCTGGACAATGCCGACGTATGCTGGCTCGACGGTGCCAATGAGGAGCGCCAACAAGACGGTAGGGATGCGGGCGTCAATCACGATCCGGACCAGCTTCCGCGAGAGATGCATTTTACAATCGGCACATGTGTCTGCATAGTTGGCATCAGCATTACACTCGCTGAATGTGTTGCGTTTCTCGTTATCGCACTGGCCAGAAAAATGCGTCCGAGCATTTTTGCGTCCTGTAGTTTGCTAAATTGTCGCGATTTTTTAAATTTTGAATATGATTTTAAACTATATTTTTTTACAACAGGCGAAAGTACAATCAGTGAGAGTGACATGGAAAGAGTCATTGAAGAACTGGAAAAACAGGTGAAATATTAACATGTAATCCAATGTGTTGATTTAAGTCATAAAGAAAATGCTTCAATTATTATTATGTAGCAATGGACAATTACTAGAGTGATGGGCTTTATGGTATGTAAGGGCAAGTAGGGCCTTTACTACCTATGTTATATGTCTGATTGGGATTGCTATAGCCCGATGTAAAAAGCTATGATTTACATGTTATTATCTTTTACCTTAGGCACATGAGAACATTCAAGCAGCGATAAAAAATGGAGAAGGACTCGGTATAGAATATGACGAGGATGTAATTTGTGATATCTGTAGAGCGGTAAGTTGTGTAATCATAACAGTCATGTTATAGTTACATAATGAACAGTAAACTGTGTGATCAATTAAGAATCTAGTGCCAGGTCTATTTTTAATGTCTATTTTTGGGTGCTGGTTCTTGTATGGTAATTATGTAGGATCATGTTTCTTTGATAATCAATGTGTTTTATTGCAAGCTTGTACTTTTTAAGAATTCTACCTTAGGATCCAGATTGTTTTAACTTAAATAATAACATGATCTTGAAAGGTAAAATTCAAACTGTCCTTTTTCTATGTTTCAGCCTGATTGTGAAGAAGGCAACGAAATGGTATTTTGTGATGAATGTGACATTTGCGTGCATCAGGTAATATATCCTTGCTTTCTGCTGTTTTTACGCAGCTCGTGCACTTAATATTCGTGAATACCAAGAAACTGCCCTGCTGGTTCAATTCTGCTGGGTGTTGTTAATGATGCTGTGACGTTCACTGTACCTAGAGGAATCTAACTGAACCCTCAATCTTGTTAATGAGGTTTTATAGTGACACTGATGTGATGGGGTTATGTTTTGCAGGCATGCTATGGCATAATGTCGATTCCTGAGGGTGAATGGTTGTGTCGGACGTGTGCGCTGCGAATCAAACCCACTTGCCTGCTGTGCCCACACAAAGGAGGTGCAATGAAGAGCACAAAGTAGGTTTTGCCACCTGGGTTACATTAATGGTGAAATAGTCGCAGACTATATTTTGCATTGTTTTCAGAGGGGTGTATTTGTTGTAACGATGCTGAGAAGTCTTGATCAATTAATCACGCAGGTGGTCGAATAATTTCTGAAGTCTGGTGCGAGTATGCATCTTAACTAACAAATAATATGTTAGTGTGCTTAGTATTCTTTGGTATTTACGTTTTGGTGTAACATACACATTTTACTTTGTGCTATGGCTGAGCATGTTTTAGTTTGTGCTGTGATTGAGCATATTTTCGTTGATGCGGTAACTGACCATATTTGATTTCACACTGTAACTGAGTACAATTTAATTTATGCAGTAAGTGTGTGTAGGCATAGCACTTCATCTTTCTCTTTTGCTCAGGCATGACTAGAACCAAGTGGGCATATTCCCTATTTCAGTGTTTGTTTTGGGTTTTTATACAATTTTTTTCTGCACTGAGGAAACTGGGCATTCACGTACCTCTCACTCACTTCCTTAACCACCCACCCATTCCCTCTGTCACCCACACTGACTCACTCACACACACACACTCACTCTCACACACACACACACACACTCTCACACACACACACACACACACACACACACACACACCCTTCCTCACTCACTCCCTTGCTCATTTACTGACTGACTCGGTCGCTCCCTCACTCACTCACTTCCTCAGTCGCTCACTCACTCACTCACTCACTCACTCACTCATTCATTCACTCACCTACTTGCTCGTGCAGGAGTGGCACTAAGTGGGCGCACGTCAGCTGCGCTCTCTGGATACCTGAGGTGAGCATCGGCGACGTCGAGAAGATGGAACCGATCACAAAGATCAGCAACATCCCGCAGAGCCGCTGGAACCTCGTCTGCTACCTGTGCCGCGAGCGAACCGGTGCTTGCATTCAGTGCTCGGTGAGTGGAGGCTCGCAATCAGGGGTGAGTGCAAGGCCATGCGTGTTGCGTCGTCGGCGCAGGAACACCGGGCGTTCAGCCGCGTCGCTCGTCCCGGCTGGACGCGGGTGTCGTTCGCGACACCCATCTAGATGTTGTCGCAGGGTCTCGTAGCGGGGCGCTCTGTAGTGTGGGGTAGCGTAGCGATCGTGTCGTAGTTCGCTTTGCGCAGGGCTGTTGGGCTTCTGGTGCAGGAACAAATCGCTAGGGTAGCGTCACCTCGTTTTTTAACGGGAAATTTTGGGTGATCAAAATCTCTGCTGCTTTTGTGATTCAACGCTTTCTCTCACAGAGCAAAGTTTTATTTAAGACATTATGCAAGATCTTAGTATATATTACAACTGCTTATCTAGCATGAAATCGATTTGCCTGGTGGCAGTAGTTATAGATGGGTTCTTTAGGCATATGTATTGGCTTTCAATGTGCTAGTTGCATGCTGCTCTTGTTCTGGTTGGAGATGGCTACAAAGGATTACTGGTGAGGCAGACATCATGACCAATGGGCATATATGCATTTCTGATGCTTCTCTATCTTCTATTTCTAGCTTTATGGTCAGTAAGCGATAGTTTCATTGAAACATTGCATGTACGTTGGTACGTGCGTTGGTGTAAATGGTGTTCCCTTTGGTAATCTGACATATTCACCAGTTTTTAGGAAATAAATTTTTCTTCACCTGTGTGATTGTCACTCTTTACCGAGTCACTGAATTTAAATTCGAATTGAATGGTAATGTCAAGAAAATATTTACGCTTTAATGAATACTGCCTATATATTGTATTAAACATTTTGTTTATCACCACTGGAAACTATTAGTTTTGAATTGATTTAATTAATATGCATATAATATGTGTAATGTTTATCTTGAAGTGCGTGTGGTCATTGTAACTTAGTTTTGTTAGCTCATCTGACGTAGTCAGATGCAGCTTGTAGAATCGCATGATCGTCCGGCCGTCCGTGCGTCCGTCCGTCCGTCCGTCCGTCCGTCAACAGTTGGGCACAAATCTTAACCGCTCGACGTACGGTCACGATATTTGGGTCGTTGGGGGGGATCGTCAAAACGAGTTGGGATGTCGAAGCTGGGGGTCAAAGGTCAAAGGTCAAGAGGTGTAAAAGAAGGGGGAACATTCACTCCTTAACTTAAGGTATAGGGAGGTAATGCAGAATTGCGGCACAAATATAAACGGCTCGACCTAGGGTCGTGATAGTCGGTGTATAGCATCATGGTAGGAAAAGCCATCACTGTGCCGAAATTGGAGGTCACAGGTCAAAGGTCAATGGGCACAGGGCAGATTTTAGACATTTTCTGAGGACATGGTCTGACGGAGCGATTGAAAAACTTTTTTCTTTCAGCGGTGACCTAGCATTTTTATGGCTTTATTGAAAGGACCATGAAATGTCCCTTCTGCTGACATGCGAAGAGTAAGTGTCAGATAACCTTTTGACCCTCAAGAGGAGGGTTAAACATGGATTTGTTGACTCTCTGTTAGAAAGAATTTGACTGTCGGGTTCTGCTAGTAGAATCTATACATGCCTGCATGTATGAGGTAACAGATGTCACAGTGAAATTTCAAAAAGCTAAACTTTTGTTGAAGAAGGTTTATGCTCTTAAAATCGTATAATTTCTATGGCATTCTGTACTGTCAGTATGTTACATGTAACGTATGCCACTCGCCAGTGGCCACTGCCAGTGGCCACTGACACGTGGCCACTGCCAGTGCATGTGGCGGTGGTACTGTGTAGTTTTGCCTGCGTTAATTGGTTACAGGTGGCAGCTCTCTATTGAGCCTGTAGGCTTGCCGTAGGTAAATGGATGAGTGCTTACCTATTCTGCTTGCAAATAGTTGTGCTTACTACGTACGATGGGAGCGTTCCATCTTAATCTTATAGATCACGTAAGACGTACGCGCCCAATCTTCGTGGCAACTTTGTCATAACGATCCCCAACGAACATTCCATTGAGAAGGTTCTGATACCATCCTGTGCATTCGCACTGTTTCGCGTGTATGTGAACACATTTGGGACTAGCAGGGTTTACTAAAAATCCGACACCGCTCCACCACAGAGTCACCGCAGTAGATGTTAGATGAGCGCTGTCGCTCCGCGGCACTTGTTTATATTGGAGGGATCTGAATTGCCTTTATAATGATATTGCAGGTGAAGTCTTGCAAGACATCGTTTCATGTGACATGTGCTTTCAAAGAAGGTCTAAAGATGGAGACAGTGCTGGATGATGATGAAGGAGAAGATGAGGGTGTAAAACTAAAGGTAGGAAGCTACAGTGTAGACATAGATAGCAGTAGGATGAGGTATGTGTTAAATTTTATGTAGATATATTTTGGTTTGTTATGATAATAAGTTTAAGGCAGCTGTCACCAGTAATTACATGGCAGATGTGTAGGGAAAAACAGAATTGATAAAATACCTGTCATGGACATTGTAAGTGAACCCACTGTTAGTGATTGCCACTGATTTTATGGGCACCTGTTGTACAAGGAGGAACTGCATGTGCTCTAGTATTACCAGTTGGTCGGTATATTTTCTGTCATGCCTTGTTGATATCCGTCCGCTGAGAAACTTCTGATCTGACTGTTGGCTTTTTTTCTTGCGGGATAGGCATACTGTGCAAAGCACGGGGGCGTACACCATCGGAGGAAGGCTGCCGAGGGCTCACGCTCTCCAAAGAAGCACGATCACAAGCACGACAAGCATGACAAGGAACACAAGGATGGCAAGGACATGACAGAGGAGGAGCGGGTGAACGAGCGCGCCAGGAGGTGAGTGCTGTGCTGCTTGTCATGCAGGGAGAGGAAGGATGATGAGGAGAGTGGAGCTGATAGCAGGGTTCGAAATTAAGGGGCAGCAAGCAGCAGTTTTGCTGCCTACAAGGGTTAGTGTACTGCCTGTTCTCAATAATTTGCTTCCAAAAATTTTTCTAATAAACCAAAGTAAAAGCACCAATGTTACAGGTAATTTCAAAACTATGGCCAGTTGTTCAGGATTGCTTTTGTTTTCAAGTTGCATTAACCCAACTCACTGTCCATACTTTATTTGATGTACAATTTATATGAAGCATGGGTTACTATATTTAGAATGAACAAATAAGAGAAACAGGGCTACAAGGCCAAACCAGCTGATTTCATTTTGCAATCACCATCTTTTGTATTCAGACTGGTAACGTTGCTAGGATACGTGTATAAACATACAAGATATGGCCATGAGTAGAATCGTTGCAGGTTTAGCGATTACTAACATGGGGTACTGAAACAATTCAAAATAAATGGAAAATTAATTTACAAAAAATATGATATTTAGGATACAAGCAATCCAGGAGGAGTTCTACAAGTTTGCGAAGGTGAAGGATGTAGCGGAAGGTGCTGACATGGAGCGGGACATAGTCGATCTCATCTACGAGTACTGGAAGCTGAAGCGAACGGTGCGTCGGCACTCTTACACGTCTCTGTACACGCATATAGTACGAGTGTGTGTATGTGCGTGAGGGTGGGTGGGGTTAGTAGGTGTGTGCGTGCGAGCGTGAGTGCGTCTGTGTGTGCATGCGTGCATTTCTGTATGTGGGCATGCGTGGGAGCGGTTGTATGTGTGTGTGTGTGCATGCGTGCGTGCTTGCGTCAGTGTGGGAACGTGTGCCTGAGTGCATGTGTGAGCGTGAGCGTAAGCGTTTGCGTGTGTGCATGTGTGCGTGTACCATTGTGTAATCTCTGAAAAACCCAACTTCGGTCTTGCTCTCTCAGGCAATCGTAGCTTCGAGTTTTGTGGAAAAAAGGCATTGGAAAATTTCAACAGTAAATTCAGTGACAAACGGCCACAGCTTGGATATTGTTTGAGCACCCGCGGTTAGGGTGCAGATGGATCGGTGCGTGGGCCATTGTGTGGGTTGGAGATTTAACGCTGTGCTGTGCTGGTGTTTGCTCTACAGGAGGGCTTCAGCCGACCTCTTCTCGCACCTCGCAATGAGGAGGCAGACATGCTCACCAAACAGCAGGAGGACAATCTAAGTGCTCGTCTCAAGATGTTTGTACAGCTCAGGCAAGATCTAGAAAGGGTAAATGTCTTCTTCTTCTAAGGTCTAATTCTTCACGGACTTCATTGCGTAATTGTATTGTAGCAGTTAAGTGCCAAAGAGAGGGAGAGGAGATATGCCAAGGTTGTAGTGGTTGCTCCATAATCTTTAGATCCTACTAGGATTACGTGTTTCTGTTGGTGTACGTAGACTAGTTTTTCTTGAGCCCTGTTACTTTTATGGGTTGACAACTTTGGTAATCATTGTAAATCTCAGGTAAAATCATGGTTAGCAGCTATTACGTTAACATTATAATAAGCATTCATATGCTTTCAGTAATACAGGTTTAGAATCCCACCTTCTTTGCTATCTAACTATCCTCATGTTTCTGTCTGTTCCATCCTCTGTCACTGCCTCTCTTCTCCTAATTTTTCTACCTCTCCTCCTACCTCCTTTCACTACTTTTCCTACTGCTGCATATCTGCTTTCCGTTCTTTTATCTGCTTCTCCTTCACCTTCTCTGCCATGCGTTCTCTTGTCTTTCCTTTCCTGCGATAATTTTAAGTATGCCTTAATCAATAGCGGTGATGTAGTGTGACGATCGCGCGCTAACGCGTCTCTCGTCATCTCTGCAGGTGCGCAACCTCTGCTACATGGTGGGCCGGCGCGAGAAGATGAGCCGCACCTACTACCGCATGCGTCGCGAGGTGTTCCAGAAGCAGCTGGAGATCGTCACCGAGCGCGGCTCCGACCTCAGCGACTCCGAGATCGAGGACGTGCTGACGGCGAGCCACGGCGACTGCGTCTACGACAAGCTCGTCGAGCTGCCGCCGACGCAGAGTGTGCTCAACGCGAGCTCAGAGAGCAACAGTCGCATCAAGGAGACCGTGCGGCGACAGCTGGCGCGCTCGCGGGAGCTCGACTCCGTCATGTCCGCGCCGAAACTCGAGCCGGTGCGAACGCCCGGGAGCCCGCGTGGCTCGAAGCGTACGCCCGTCGTTGGCGTCGACGCCGGCAGCGGCGGCCCGATCAAGAAGAAGAAGGTGAGCGCAGAAGCGTCGCGGACTAATCGCCTTATTAAGGCGAAGAGCGCCAAGCGGAAGCAGGAGTCGTCGTCGTCGCCGGCACCGGCGCGTGCCAGGGTCACGAACTCGAAGACTCCTAAGGAGAACAAGATGCTGTCGCCGCTGCGTGAGCTCATGAACGAGCTGTCGGACAGCGAGCGCGACAATGGCCGCGAGGACGACAGCGACGACGATGACGACAGCGGCGCCGGCTCGGAGCCGATCATCAAGGTCAAGACGAAGGCCGAGATGAAGGAACTCGTAGAGCCGAAGCGGCGGCCCAACGCGAAACTCAGCCGGCTCAAGGCAAAGGCGGCTGCCGCCGTCGCCGCCGCGTCGAAGCCGTTCATCAACGGAGCCGTTGACGCGGCGGCGGCGCTGCGGCTCGACAATCACGTTACCAAAGCGGACTTTGCGCCGGACGCGCGGCTGTTCCCGAAGGAAGGCGGCGAGCGGCTGCTGCCGCTGCCGAAGCCACGCCGACGCTCGCTCAGCCCGTCGTCCTCGTCGTCGTCCTCGTCGACGACCAGCACGTCGTCAGAGTCGTCGTCGGAGTCGTCGGGTAGCGACAGCGACAGCAGTGACAGCAGCTCGAGTAGTTCGTCATCGGCGGGGAGCCGCCGCAGCCCGCCCGCGCTCAGCAGGGCCGCCGTGCCTCCGCCCCCGGCCAGCGAACCCGCCGTGACGGCCAGGGAGCGCCTGTTTGACTTTCCGAAGCCTCTCGTCGAGGAGACGATGCCCGAAATCTTGCCTAAATCTCAGAAGGAGAAGCTCGATAGCAAACGGCCGCCGGCAAAGTTGGCACGCGACGATAGTAAAATTCAGTCTTTGAAGTCAACATCGTTGTCGTCGGCGGCGGCGGTGGCGGCGATGGCGGACAGTAGTCGTTCGTCGTCCTCAAAGTCCAGTAAAGAGAAACCCGCAGTCAAATCCGCAGCGCGCAAGAAAGGGACGAGTTTACAACCTAGCGCGAAGGTTGCCGCACCGTCGCACAAGCAGAAGCCACCAAGCAGGGCTTCTGTTGAGAAGGGCAAGGAGAAAACGTTGCATGTATCTACTGCGCCTAAAGAGAGGGAAAGATCTGAAAAGGAGGCAGAGTCGAAAGAACGTGCACCACCTCTCTCAAAGGAGAAACTGGAATCTGTCGACAAGTCCGATAAGCTGGAACCTACCGATGGAGATTCTTTTCCCTTGTCGAAAGGCAAGGATAAGGTGCCTCGTGAGCTTCGGGGCTTGGAGATATGGCCTCACATGCTGACCACAAAGTCAGAGCTCGCTAAAATTCAGAAGGAGCGAGAAGAGAAGGGTGAGGTTGACTCCTCAGTCAGGACTAGCAAAAAGGAAGCTGAGGCAGCTATTCGAAGCAGTAAGAAGAGGCACGACAGCTTAAGTAGCAGTCGAGACAGGCATGATAGTAAGAGTAGTACGCTGGAAGGCCTGGATAACAGCCGAGACAGACACAGTAGTAAGAGCAGTACATCGGAAAAGCAAGATAGTAAAAGTAGTAAATCAGAAAGGCCCGACAGTGAAATCTTTGCAACAGATGAGGATAAAAGCAATACAGTTGACAAACAAGAGAGTAGAAGCAGTACAAAAGACAGGCTTCAGGGCAGCAGCAGTAGCAAAGAGAAGCTTGAAACTAGTAGCAGTAGTAAGGAGAAGCTTAGCAGTAGAACAAGTACAAAGGACAGGCGTGACAGTAGAAACGGTACGAAAGACCGGCTGGCCAGCAAAAGCAGTACAAAAGATGTGTTTGACAGCAGGAACAGTAGCAAGGAAAGGCTCGACAACAGAAGTAGTAGCAAGGATAGACTCGACAGAATCAGCACGACAGAGCGGCAAAAATCTAGAGAACGGCATGATAGTAAAAGTAGAGTGTCTACCAAGAGCAGCAGCAAAAGTAACAGCAACGAAAACCACGACGCCAACAGCAGCCTGAAGGTTTCGCCGCAGCAAGTAAAGAAGAATAGCAAATCCGAGAGATCAACGCGAAGTCCAAAATCAAGTACACAATCTAGCAATAAAGACACGCATGCGAAAGAGAACGCCGACGCGCTGAGAGCCACTAGAGGTAAGAAGGCGCTGGCTAGCAAACGGACTGTCGACCAATCCGACACGCCAACTCAGCACGAGCCAGTAAAGACAACGGAACGTGCCAGTAAAGACAAGCCCGAGGTCGTCGCCGAGGCGGGAGAGACTCCCGACACGCCGGCTAGGTCCAGCGAGAAGCGCAAGCATCCGCCGGCGAAGTCGAGCAAGAGCAAGCACGCGACGACACCCAGGGAGACGAAACCCTGCGGCAAGCCGGTCGAGGAGAAGGTGGGAGAGAGGAAGGAGGAGAAGGTGGGAGAGATGACGGAGGAGAAGGTGGGAGAGAGGAAGGAGGAGAAGGTGGGAGAGAGGAAGGAGGAGAAGGTTGGAGAGAGGAAGGAGGAGAAGGTGTTAGAGAGGAAGGAGGAGAAGGTGGGAGAGAGGAAGGAAGAGAAGGTGTTAGAGAGGAAGGAGGAGAAGGTGGGAGAGAGGAAGGAGAAGAAGGTGGGAGAGAGGAAGGAGGAGAAGGTGGGAGAGAGGAAGGAGGAGAAGGTGGGAGAGAGGAAGGAGGAGAAGGTGGGAGAGAGGAAGGAGGAGAAGGTGGGAGAGAAGAAGAAGGAGGCGAGCAGGAGTCCGCGGTTGAGCGGCGGCGCGCAGAGCGAGATGGGCGACGCGTTTGTCTTCGGCGATGACGTGGAGTCGCCGCTGTCGAAGCCATCGATGCCGCTGCTGTGGGAAGACGAGGAGGAGAAGCCGTGGGTGGACCGTGAGATCGAGGGCAAGAGCAAGTTCAGGCAGAAGCTTCTCATGGAACAGGCGAGCGAAGAAGAGGAGTTCAGAGTGAAGGAGGGCCTGAAGCCCAAGGCCAAAAAGCGAGAAGCCGACGTGGTAGAGAGGGTGATCGAGCAAGCGAAATCCTTGCAGAGGAAGGAGAAGGTCGGCCGCAACTCGGCGAGGACGAAAGATGAAGCACAGCAGTCGAACGAACGTAAGAGCCATGCAGACGCGAAACGAGAGCCTGTGAAGACGGCTGAGAAGAAGGCAAAGCATACTGACGCGAGGCGAGAACCTCCGAGATTAAACGAGAAGAAGGACCGGCATGGGGATAGCAGGGACGAGCGGGAACCCGACGGCGAGACGAAAAAACCGGATGTGGAAAAACAAGCGGAAGCGAACGAGAAGAAGCAGAGTGTCGTCGACAGACCACGCACGCCCGAGCCTGTCGAGGAAAAAATGGAAGTCAACGTGGAGGAGCCGCAAGAGTTGTGCAGCGAGTCGGCGGAGAGCGACGGCCTGGACGCCATTGTTAAGGTGCCGCGAGAGCTGCGTGGGCTGGAGATGTGGGCGCAGGACATGCAGCCGAGTCTCGGATCTCTAGCGACAGGCCGCTACATGGCGCGCCGCTCGCGCGACACGTCTCGAGACTCGGAGAAGGAGGAAGCCGAGGCAGAGAAGCCGTCCCACCAGCGGAGGAGGTCCGATTGCACGGCGAAACAGCGCGAGGATGCGAGCGACGTGTGCGAGCGAGCGAAGGAGGGATCGCGGGAGCGCAGGTCGGAGCGCGCGGGCGCGCGCGCCGCTGCTGCCGGCAAGGAGAACAAGAGCCGGGCGGCGGCGACGACGGCGCGTCGGCCCGCGAGTAAGGACGAGCCACCTGACAGCTCGCCGGGTCCGCCTGAGCTGCAGTCCCCCTACTCGTCGCTGCCCTCGTCACCCGTCCTCAGCCCGCCGCTGCTGCCCCTCAAGGAGCTCGGCTCGGTCGGCGGATCGTCGGGACCGCCGAGCCTCAAGTCGCAGGTCGTCGAGTCGTCGCCCGTGCGGCGCGCGCAGTCGCCGAGTCCGTCCCCGGCGCGCGTCCCGCAGCAGCACAGCAGCAGCAGCAGCGGGAGCGGCGGCGACGCAGCTCGTCAATCGAGAGCGCGCCAGACATGCCGAAGCCACTGCCTGCGTCGCCGGCGAAGCGAGCGCGTGACCCGACGCCGCACGACGCGAGGTCGCTCGCAGACTCTGCCGACAACGCAGCGCATCGACGCCAACTCAACAGCGGCCCCTGGTGGCTGTGGAGGCGGACGCCGGTGCCGCGGAAAAGAACGACGTCGCCATGGAGACGGACGATGCTGCGGCGGCAGAAAATGACGTTGCTGCGGAAGCCGTCGCCACGGAAGCGATGGATGCTGCTGTGGAGAATGGCGACGAAGCGAACTACGGCACATCATCGGCGCCGGCGACGCCCGACGCCTTCGACAGCGCGCAACCAGATGCGTCGCCTGCCGCATTCATTCCGACCTTCAAGGAGGTCACGTCCGCCGGCAGCGATAGCGAGAAGGCCGACAAATCGGCGAAGGGCGGCTTCAAGTCGACCTTCAAGGAGATCATTCCGCCGCAGACGTCGACGCCGGGCACGACGCCGAACTCCGAGCTCATCGCCGCGGAGACGGTCAGCGAGGCGCCGGACCGCGCCGCGCCGCATCCTCCGTTCACGGCGGAGGCGGACGCGGCGTCGCCGCAGCATGCGCCGTTCAACGCGGGCTTCGCGAATCTAGTCGCAGCGCATCAGCTGGAGCAGCAGCAGCAGCAGCAGCAGCAGCAGCCTCCGCCGTTCTTCAAGGCAGAGCTTGAGCCGCGGCCGCCGCCGTCGCCGCCGGACATTGCCTGCGTGAACAAGCTGATGCATTACCAGAACGCGGCGCCGCGCATGGCTGACTTCGGTCACCCGTTCGGCGCCGTGCCGTTCCCTCGCTTCCCGCCGGCGTCGTCCGACGCGCTCCCGTTCGAGTTTCCGTCGGGCCTGCATCATCCTGGTCAGTTGGGGGACGCGCGCAAGCTGGCACACTTCCCCGAGCCGCCGCCCGCCACCGGCGACTACTGGAGCCAGGAGCGTCTGTTCGGCGAACAGCTGCCAGCACTGCAGCGGCCCTCGTTCAGCCAGCCGTTCCCGGGCATCGTCGGCGGACAGGTGGCGCCGGCGGCGAGTAAGTTTGCTGCCGGCGGGTACCTCGGCGAGCGGATGCCCGCGCCGGGCGGCGGTGGAGGAGACGCGCAGTTTCCAGCACCGCCGTCGTTCAGCGACGTGCCGCCGTCCATCCAGGACACGCTGCATCAAGCCGCCGGCGTGCGCAAGGATGCTTCCCAGCAGGAGCAGCGCTTTCTCTCCGGCTTCCGCGACATGCAGGAGGCAAGCAAGATCTCACCGCCGGTCGTGCGCGCGCCAGGCATGTTCAACTACAACGTCGGCGGCGGCGGCGGTGGTGACTACGGCAAGGTGCCGTCTCACGCGCCGCCCGCGCCCTCCGACAAGTACCTGCCGGGGGCGGCGGCAGCGACGACGACGTCGGACCAGGACCACGACCAGGAGACCGCAAAGCTGCTGCAGCGGCTGCGTGGCTCCGTGCCGTCGTTCAGCACCAAGCCGGAGGCGCTCGCGGCTGCTGCACAGCCACCTGATCTCAAGGAGGTGGCGTCGCCGCCGGTGGCCGCGCCAGGAAAGACCGGTGTGAACACACTAGCGGCGTTGCATGCGCCCGCAGCCGCCGACGCCCTCACGCAGGTGGTGCCGCCTGTTGTGACGCCGGTGACGAAGTCGCCTCGCCAGCGCTCGTCGCCGAAGTGCGCGCGTCACAGCGCCGGGGCGTCGCCGCGCGAGCGCAAGCCCAGCATAACGTGGTCGGAGGCGAAGAAGCTGAAGCAGCGGTCGCGCGACGCTCTGCCGGCGCCCTGGCGCAAGGACAACAAGAAGCATGCGTCGCCGGCGCGGCAGCGGGCGAGCCGCCGGCGCGTCGAGGCGATCAAGCGTGCGGAGAGCCTGTCAAGCGAGTTTGTCAAGCAGAACCACCTCGAGTCGGACCCGTACCTGTTCAGCGAGGAACTCGGCGACGACTTTACGATCGGGCCCGTCGTAACCGAGCCTAGCTGCTCCCCGCCGCTGCCTCTGCCGCCGCCGACGCAGCCAGACGCAGCATCGAATGGCGTACCATCAGCCGACAGCAGTCTGGACGCGCCGCGTGGGGGTGTCGGCGCCGACGACGGGGCAGTCGCCGCGCCGCCGCCCGACGACGCGTCGGACCGACTCGGCCTGCGCAGCTTCCGCTTCAAGCTCGACCGCATCGTCAACCGGCAGAACGACGCCACGTGGTCTGTGACACCGCACGTCGACTGCGGTGCCCCCGCGCGGCCGTGCGCGGACGGCGTTGCCGCGGCGCCTCCGCTCGATGCTACGCAGCACGGCTCGAACAACCTGCCGCTGCGGGACGGTGGTGAGCGGCGGCGTGCGCGGCCCAGCGACGCAAAGGACGTTGAGATCCGCGTCTGCCGGCTCTCGGACAAGACGTGCGACTACCGCGGCGTTCACCTGCAGACGAATATCAGCGTTGACGAGCCCGTCGCCGCGGCAATGAAGCCTCCGCCCGCGGCGCCTGCCGACACGAGGCCGCACGGCGGCGAGAGCCTCAAGCTGATCGTGAAGCGCGACGGCAACTCCTACTCGACGGTGGAGAGCCCGTCTGTGAAGACTGCGGCCGTGGCAGCGGCGGCGGCAGCGGCGGCGGCGGCGGCGGCGGCCGCTGCAGAGGCGAAGGTGGAGCCGAGCGTGAAGCGTGTTGTCATCAATGACAGCGAGTATCTGAAGCCATTCAAGAAGCGCAAGTACGAGACGGTGCCGCACACGCCGCCCGCCGCCGAGCTGCCGCCGCCGCCAGCGTCGCTGCAGCCGACGAAGCCGCCCGCGGTCGCCACGGCGACGGCGAACCACGCGCCGAGCACGTTCGTGCCGCCGCCGCGAACCGAGCCGGTTAGCAGTGCCAAAGCTGGTCCGAAGCTGATGATCTCGCCGCCGCTGAAGCTGCGGGTGAAGCGTGAGGGCAACAAGTACTCAGCGTTCGACCCGGTAGCCTTCAGCGAGGAGAAGTTCCGACCGAAGCCGGACGCGCCGGCGTCCGAGGATCGGCCGAAACTGTCGCTCAAGCTGATCCTGCGCCGCGAGGGCAAGAAGACCTACTACACGCTCGACGGCAGCAGCGAGCAGACGGGCGGTGGCGGCGGCAAGCGGTCGCGCGGCCGCCCCAAGGGCAGCCGGAAGCGTCGCTCGAGCAAGTCAGCGGCGCGGGCCGCCGCGGCGACGGCGCGGGGCCCGGGGCGGCCCGGCAAGGCGGCACGCGCGAGCCAGCCACCGTCGGAGCGCTACTCGTTTCGGCAGCGCAACAACAACGAGGGTGAGGAGGTGGAAAACAGCAACGCAGGCAGCAATCTGGATGCAGAAAACTTGACCAACGGTCCAATTTCGAGCTAACGGGTGAGTGAGTCAGTGTTTATAGTTTTACGACAATGCCGATGACGCAAAACCACTGAACTACTACTACTACTCTTGATTGTGGAGCAGCGGTGTCCAGCAGGTGTCAGCACGGTCAGACTGTGGTTTTACAAGTACTGAATGGAACAAGGCTCATGCTTGTTTGACACTGCTTGCCACAGAATATTTATTTTTGCATGTTGTGCAGTTTACTGAAGCGTTCAGCTGCCATTGTAAATTTAGCTTGTAGCTCAGACTAATGCATGTATATTATTTATAGTTCTCATGACGTCATGACTATAATTATATAGTGTAATTTGTGGTAAGGTGTAAAAACACCTACACAGGGATGGCACCAAAACACTTCATAACAGATATACAAGTTCTTTTGTAGATACTAGATAATAGATAATGTCAGTGTATTGCAGACATTGATGTGCCATCTCTTGAGGGTGATGTTCCAACTTCTTTATACATAATGATGAGAAAGGTTTGGAAAGATCACCTTGTAAGTAAATTATAAATTAAAGCTATGAATCATGTGTATCTCTGTGTGTGTAAAACAGTTTAATTAATATTTAGCTTGAATGCGATCCACTTTTATAGCAGTAAACGAATTTTAGTGGTGTAACTATTGAATTGCATTATAAATAATCACGATTGTTAATTATATGGACAATGTATAAATAATCACTATTGGTAATTACGTGGGCAGTGCTGACATCTGGTGGTAGTAAAATCAAACCAAGACAGGGTGGGGATTAGCCGAACAAAGGCCCATTCGGTATTATTGTGTTTGGTGAAGAGTATGCTGCAGAGCAGTGTACAGATCAATATATGTTCTTATGCAACGTGCACGTATTGCTTACTGTATATTTTTATCATATTCTGAGTATGATATATCTGGTTTATGTACATAGTACAGTTACAATCATGACAGTCATAGATTTTATTCCAAAAACTAGATTCTACTTACACATGTCTGTTGGCTTTTAAAAGGGATTTTAGTTCATTGTATTTAGACAGTGTTTTAACTTAGCTGCATGGTTCTTTGTGACATCTTCCAGGAAGGAAATTTTATGGTAAAAGCTATTTTTCTAACCGTTTGAGAATGAGAGATAGGGAATTTGCACATTCTGCTCATGCTTCAGGGCGTAGATCTACAGGGAGGACGTAGCGTGTACTGTGCAAGTGCAATTATCGAATGAATTAACGCAAATTTCTACTAAATGCGCTCTCTGTTTGTTGCACCCGGATTCGCAGCTTTTGTCTTTGCCGTGCGAGAGCGGAATACGTTACTAGCATCGTGTTTGCAAGCACACGCGTCTCCCTTTTCTTTGCAAAAAAACTATGCATTAGGCAACGAGAGAGTGTAGGTTGTTAACTCTGTAGCTAATCACCACCGGCCGCGTGCTCACGCATCGTCCACGATCTCAAGGAGGCATGACATACGACCCTGGGCTCGAAGGGCTTCCTGCTCTCATGTCCGGGTTCTTCTCGTACACCCCGTGCCCTCTTTCCCTCCGCTTCCTGTCTGTGCGTACTTGTCCCCCATATTCAATTGCAGCCGGAACATAGACAGGTTAGACTTGCAACGGCGGCAGCGAAGTTGCGTAGTATTTCTCCGATCGAGTTTAACGGTGCAATAACGTAGGTGATCGAGAATCAAGTGTTGTACATCTCGTGCATTTAATGTTGTGTTGGTTTTATATAGCATGTAATCAAAAGTATATTCACACAGCACATTAGTGATATCATACTTCTGGTTGAATTCTTTTTAAATTAATATTGTTAAAGGTACTCGATTCATTCGAGTATGTGGGCATGTTAAAAAGTTTATATTTTTTGAACGGTTGTCGTACTTCTTAGCTTTGTACATTGTGAAGTGGTAATATTTTATTTCTGAGAAATGTATACTTATTGATGTCATGTCCTCTGCATCTTTGCTGAGCAGGGTTTGAAGGGTAATTGTTTATTGTGTAAGCTGTTGAAGCCTATTATCTTGTTTATTTGTGTTGCCAGGCATGTTTGTACTGTGTGTGTTTTTTTACTAATTAAATAAATGTGTGCTTTCTAAGACTAAAACATAGCAGCATAGCGCTAGGCGACAACTATCGACAGATTGGTAGCTTAAACATGGTGGATAATCACAAGGTAATTGAAGTAACTTAAAGAAATTTTTATGCGTTGTTGTTCATTCGTCTGTCTTGGTTTGATTGATTCTGCCCATGGGTGCGGTTACTGCTGTCCCAATATTGTGCTGACAGTGAACAAAAACAAAAACAGATGTTTGTTTTTATGTTTGATTCTGTAATTTTAACTCGTTGTTATGCAGTTGCAATTGTACATGTACCGTGAATCGCGCGTGTAATATATTTGGTGCACTCCGCTGAGAAATGGACTATAGGTGTCGCTGTCGTCGTGACCGGGAGCCTTGTCGCGTGCTGTCCGGCGTGTCGTCTGTCGTGCGAGTCTCCCTCCCTCCAATTCCGGCATCTCACCGAGTTGCGATATCGGAAGGTGGCACATGTTCATGCGAATGAGACTCGAGACAGCCGCAGCGTGGCCGGTTCGCCACCAGGTGCACCACAGTAGTTTATGACGACACCGTAAAAGCCGCCTAGTAGCCTCGCAATTTGGAGTAGAAATTTTGCACAGAAAAAAATCACGAGGGGATGACCGTTTTTTGAGATCTTAACGGTTGAAATCATATTCATTGTTTAGATTTGAGTATTTAGTCGGATCAGGCGAACATGGCAAAAGCGGATACGAATTTTGTTGGTCAGAGATAGATGTCACGGCACTTGGCTGTAAGCGTAAGGGAATTTCCTATGCAAAATTGCTGCAAACAAGTATCTCACAGTTTTCCCACCCCCTCAGCTGGCCAGAAAAAGGTGTACAAATAGTCGTTAATATGAACCTGTAAATACCTTATTAATATCAAAGTTGATATTATTTGTATTTTATGTACCCTGAGAATTATGAAAGATAATTAAATGGAGCATTTGAATTTGAACATACATGTTTTGTTTCATTTGTTGAGTTGTTGACATTGTGGATGAGCTATTCCTTCCGTGGTTTCTTCTTTTACCCATGACAACTCTTTTTGGACTGCTGAGTAGCTACTTATTCCCAGTAGAGGCATTATCATTGTTGTTAATCCCCCGTCTATTTGGTGACATGTAGTTTTGACTATTATGAATATTACGTCATTAAAAACATTCAAAAAACCAACAGCAATAATTACAAAATGTAAAAAAAACGTGTATCACCTTCTGGGTTTATGTAAATGAAACGGGGTTTAGTCCATTTATGGCTGTGTTAAGTAATTTTTCATATCAAAAACAATTTTTGACCAAATAACTGAAAAATAGTAAATAGTTGCATATTTTTAATAACCAGTTGTGTTTAACCAGTTTACCTGACTTGAAAACTATCAGTATTGTAACACTTATTAAGGCTAGGCTTTAATAAAAAAATAATAATTTGCAATACCTACCCATAATTGTGAATATTTCATCTAGATCAAATATCGCGCAATGAATATAAAAATGTGTTCATAAATCGATGCAACTGCTTGATAACCACATTTCACTAGTGTACACGTTTAACAGTCCATAGTTTACACATCCATAAACGCGTGTACACGTTTAAGCCCTCGGCGAGCTACTGATGCGTTAACAAAGGTTTCCCAGGCCATTTAGATATTACTCACGCGGTTACCACATGCGCCGCTATGCTACGACGATGTATGTTCCGCTTCGCTAGGGTTCGCCAAGCTCCGCTAGGCGGAGTGATGTGTGAACCGCTGGCGGGTGGAAACTTTTGTTGTGGAGCGGTTACACGGTGGCGCCGCGGTGGCGAATTTCGCAAAGGCGGTGAAAATAAACATGGACGGATCGAGAGAGGGAGTGAAACACAGCGCTCCGTTCTTCGACACGGATCTAGCAAACATGTCATCGTCGGATTCCTCTGAGGAAGACAGCCAAGACAAGGGCTCTGTTAAGCGTATTCAGGCGGCTCTTCTCGAGTCGGTTGACTCGCTGAACAGTGACAAGCTAGCGGCGAGAGAAACTGATATTCTCGACAACAGCAACCGCACCAGCACTGCGAGCTCAGCGTCCGTGGAGCCAGAAGGCCCAGAACAGTAAGTGAATTGTAGTATTTACTATTGCTAGTAGTAGCTAGTCTCAACTGCAGCCAGTGCTGCTATACATGCACAACAGCAACCGTCGTCGGATTTAAATAGTGGCCGCAATATAGCGGGTATGCACTTGATCAACCAGTACTTCTGTTTCAGGCATTGTGTGTGTTATTGCGTGCATCCAAATACATATATACGCTATAAGTATAAGTATAGGTATACAATATTTAGTGTTTGTTGTGGAAGGATTAATACCCATTTCATCGGTGCAGGCACTGTTTTTCGTGTTGCTATTACTTTTTGTACACTGTTCTTGCTGCCTGTCAAAACGTGGGATCGATTTAACAGCGCAATGTCAACAGGCATCTAACCGTTTCGAGTAAGCAAACTGCTCACGCAGACAGACGGGTCATGTTCTGCAAGCGATGCAAACGCAGCGAAGGCGATGGGCTGATAAAATGCACTTGTAAGCATTCTCAGGAGCGCAACCAAGGGCCTCTCCCCTCATCCACTATGAGATACATGTTGAGTCTCCTGCTATGATGAGCTACATATAACTTCATTGTTCGTGTTAAAAATGCGCGAATGGGAACCGTTTCAGTGTCAACTTCAAATGAATTCTTCGGGTACTAACTGCTATAACAAACTTTATACTTCTACACAACACATTAGTAAGACCGTTCACATTCTTCTATCCGCCTGCATAAGCTGTTTATGTGATCCATGCCGCTATACAACACACATGTATATATGATCATATATGAATTGTGCTCGCATCGATTTTAAATTATGTTGTTACTTTGTTTTAATTGTTAATTTTATAAAAGTACACATTGTATAAAACTTCTAATCTTAAGGGCGAGATGGTTAACTTAGTTATTATGTACATATGTGTCATATTTACCACCTGAAAAAAATACGTAGTCTTGACTCTTCTGATTTGTGAGAAAGTACAGATATCATTGGAGGTTTTAGGCACATCTCATCACACTATAGGTAGTAAAATCATGAATGTTTTTACCATCGTACGTAGCATTTTTCGTTTGACCCAGCTATGCATACCTATCAGGAGTAGATAATAGGGACTATTATCTACTCCTGATACCTATGTGTGTACTGTGTAGTCCATTGAATGGGTCAATAGCAGCCCTTACTTCACATACAACATACCCTTTTATTCGAGACGTGTGTAGCCTAGGAGTTTCGAGGTCATGCTGTACCCTGCTGTGAATGAAGTAACAACACAGGTTTTTTCAAAAGAAACGCGGACAATAAATAACGCGCCGTGCCTGTCTAAAGAATTGGCATGCACGTCGATCGTACGTAGGATTTTCAGTTACGAGTCCTGATCGGATATTTGTCGGCGATGTGTGTATTACCACGCACGAATTGTCATGTTATTTCGATGTGGACTGCCAGCGAAACCTGGCTGATGCATGTTCCAGCTGCGATGTAGTGATATCTGCGGCATTACAAAGCTGCTTCGCTCGAAGCTGCTGGGCCGAGCCAGATACAATAATTAACTCCCACTCTGTGTTGGGTAATATCATTGTATCTAGATGAAAGCTAGCGGACGATCCGTCATCGTAAGTCTGTGCTTCTATCGTAGAAGTTCTCAGATAAGGTTTAGGCGAATTAATCGAATCACTACTATATTCATATTCGCAGTTACGTTAGAAAACTAGTACGTGGATATACGGGGCAGGGCAAATATTTGCAAGGATATACGTTCCGTTTAATCCGTCGAAATTGTTTGAATCATCCTGCGTTAATTTGCTCAGTGTCTTTGCGCGATCGAATGTAGCGAACATTCGGGCCATTTAACCTTAACTATCCACACAGCTAGAGCGCGCTTGGCGAATAGCAAAATCTAGCTGTCGTTTAGGAATAGTATTTGAATGTAATCAGGAATGCGGTGAACCTGAATTGACTATAGTCGCTCAGCGAGTAGTTGAAGTTGGTGGTTGATTGTCGTGCGATGTTACTACTTGCAATTTACGATTGCAATTGTATGTGGTGCACTACTATAGATAACGTAGCAGATGGTTAGTGTGTCTTGTGCAATCGGCCGGCCATTATACGTTAATATCTAATGAGATTGTAAAGGTTGCACGGATTGCAGCAATCTTCAGTTTCCGTAATGTGATTTCGGAATATTTTCTGATTGTGGTTGAGTTCAGTCTGAATGGAAATGCATGGCAAGATAGCGGCAGCGTTGAATACCGAATCAGTGTTCGTCCTTACTTGTCTATTCATGGCGCATGGTGCCCGTCAAAAGTTTGCATGTTATTTATTCATGAAACGAGTTGAATTGGCGCGATATCATCCCTAGATAATGTACATTGATACGATTCAGCGTAAAATCGAATGTGTCTTACTTTATGCATCTTACAATTAGCAAGGCTATATCAAGAACTGACAAAATTTCGGATTTATCATCCAGCCTGTCGCTGCGAAAGAAAGGGAAAGGAAAGCGTGAGTCAATGATGATGGGTTTCACAGAGGTTGAGAAGCGGGAGGATTTAGCTCTAGCACTTCCACAGAGCTGCTGCTGGGTGTTAGCTGTATTGGGGCTCTTCGCCGCAAATAGCAAAATCGGGTATTGCGTTGAGCGGGGACTGGATATTTGAGTGCAGCGGGAAAACGAATGAGATTGTAGACAACGAATCGTATAATGGGACCAGCGGCCGCGGCGGTCACTGAGAATTTCACCCACGTGTATACCCGGCACCGCAAGCTTGTGTGTACTGCCGATCACTGTATGGTTCAATCCATCGTGCGCCACTGTGTGTGTGTAAGGAAGCAAACGGCAAACGATTGCGTGTGTACATGGAGAGGTCGCCTTCGGATGCTAGGCCTATACGGTGAAAGTTCGTGTTGGTTTTCGATATCTTCCAACGTGTCACGAGCGACGTATGTTCTGATAGGCAGCATTGCTTTACCAGAATTGTGTTAAGATTTTCTTTCTGTAGTTTTCTCAGGTTTTATGCGATTAGCGAGAAACCTTCGCAGACACCGTAGTCACACTCACGGGCGGGTCGACCCGAGGGCAGAGTAAACACCGCTAACGCGGATTGTCGATTTCTATTGACTAATTACTATTCACCAGCTACAGCAGTAGATTTTCCGAGTAGGAATAAGGTTCCAGGCGCATAGTGAACATTTAGAACTGATCGGGGAAGAGATCCTGAGCACGCAGGACCCGTGCAGCCGAATTGTATATAGCTACCCTATACTACCTTATAACTTATAGCTGTCTGACGACAGAGGATGATAGATTTACTCGACTCGCTTTTGCCATACAATTTTTATTATTAGTTTGAACGTACTCTGAGTGAGTGGTTTGCAGCTAGGAGTTACTAGTCTAGATAAGGGGTTTGACCAACGTTGATGTCTATGGACGATGTTCGTGAGTTGTCTGACGGCAGCTGAGTTGTAATGCGGTAAGAACGTTTCTTGGTGCGATGTATCGCATCGCGTTGTGCGTGCTCATCTGTGGTGAGATTGATGACTGTAGCGTAGCAGTGTTTCATTGCGTAGCAGTGAGATTGGTCGCAATGTAAACACAGTGACTTCAGTGTACGAATAAACGATAAACATTGACAAAGGCTAGCATGTGTATAACAGCTTGCAGGAGAAGACTGCAAGGCACGACGCGTCACGTTGCAGACAGACGGTGCAGTGTGCCGCGTTAGTTTTTATTACATCCTCATGGTTTCCCAAACCGTTTATGCATTCTATTCATAAATAAGAACTCCGTCTTTTCCTAAAACGCTATTTTCGGAAATTGAATTCGCATGGCTTTGTCGGAACAATTTTTCAGATTTGATCGAAGTTCAGAAATGGTGTTTTACAGCGATGAATGTAGTATTCTGTGGCAACGTGAGCTGGTTTAGAGGGGATGAATACATTGGGTATTTTTCCGACGAGAATGTATTATGTAGGCTTACCTGATGCATCCATAAGCGTCTGACTGCGTCTCATGAGTCAGTAGTCAGCCAATCGATCGGGTTCATTAAAAAAAGACGATGTGCTGCTGCGTGTGGCTTAGCAGGGAGGCGTGAGTGCACGGCTATCGCACCTGCTCCCCGCCGCGGCTAATAAGCTATCTGCTGCGAAACTATCCCGTTATACACACACACACACACGAACACACACACGAACACACGCACACACACGAGCACACGAACACACGCACGAGCACACGTATACACACGCACGCACACGCACACATACCAGCACACACACACACGTCTGTCCTGCTGCTGCTGTAGCTGATTCGGTTCTGGACTGTGAGCGACCCGTTGTTACGACTGCGTGTTTAGATCGGACTCGTCTTCGAAATTGTAAACGCTCGACCGTTCATACATGCGCGGCACTTTTAAGTCTTCGTTTATTTTTACCGTCGTCCGCGTGACCAGCACAGCTGTGCGTGTGCGAGCGTGCGAGTGTGCATGCGAGTGTGTGAGTGTGTTTGTGTGTGTGTGTGTGCGCTGGTGCGAGCGTGCGAATGTGCGTGTGAGTGTGTGTGTGTGTGTGTGTGTGTGTCTGTGTCTGTGTGCGTGTGCGTGTGCGTGTGCGTGTGCGTGTGCGTGTGCGTGTGCGTGTGTATGTGTGTGTGTGTGTGCTCGTGTGCGTCCATGTGTCCATGTGGGGTGTGTGCGTGTGTGTGCATGTGTGTGTGCGTGCGTGCGTGCGTGCATGATAAGCACGTACGTATAGCCGGCGGGAAAATGGCGTTAAACATGGTTGCAGCGCGTACGAAACCGAATAAACGAACGAGATTGCAGACGAGCAAAATAGTTGTTCAAAATGACTGCCCTCCCGCAGGGCGCAGCTTCCTAACGACCGACTGCCAAGCGTCTGTTGTCGTAGGCACGCCGCGTGCTCAGCATCCGTCTGCGTCTACAGATGAAGCCCTCAAGCGTGCAGCGTGCCGCGGCCGAGACAGGAGGAGAGGAGCTAGCATCTTAACAAGAGGATCCGATGGTGGGAGATGGGTGCAGTGAGCGAGATTAGCGCTGAAATACTGAAATACTACGAGTATGCCTAATAAACACAAAGCTAATACTTTTATTAATAATGGAATATTGAATGTAAGGGCCTGTTCAATTTGTCTAAAGGCCTGTTTAAAATGTTGGGTGGGCCTGTTCACATTTGGGCTAATTTCATGCCCTGGCCCGGATGGTAGTAAGATAGGGAGGATAGTAGGAAGGGTAAGGCGTGTCAGAGGGAGTATTGTGGGAGGGAGAGGATAGCGGGAGAGGGAGGATGCTGGTAGAGAAGTGGTTGCTGGTAGATGGGGGAAGGAGGCTGAATGAGCTGACAAAGGAGGATGGTGGTGTAGGGCGCAAAGTAGCAAAGGGAGAATGTTAATAATGATGCTCCTTGTCATACTATACCATCTTGCGGATAAAACACAGCTTCTCCATGCGAAGCCACATGAATATAATGGCTTCCTCGCGTTATAACGCATTGATCAGGCCGTCGGCGCGTGAGCGTGACAGGATTTTTTTCTAGGTTAACAATAATTACATTGACATGGGCGCATTCTGCGACCGGAATGCTCCATGATCGAACGGTTGACAAATTGGGAGCGGGGCGGAGGGGAGGTGGTGAGGAGCTGGGGTGGGCAAGAAGAGGCCCCATTATCGTCCCTGCGCTCTCCTCTTTAGGGAAATATAAAAACATTTGATTTTCATCGGGAGTAAGGTAGCGCGGTATTAAATCCAGCACACATTTTTGATGACCCGATGAGGATGGGCTGTGGAGGAAATGTGTGTTCTTCTTCGAATGATGCAGCTTGCATGTTGGCTCGACCTAGCCGCCGGACACAGTGTATGGCGGGAAAGCCACACGACTGCGTCAAAATCAATATTTACGTAAGGAAATAGCTCTCCCCTTATGAAGAGAAATGCTGTTAACCCTCGGAGAAAAAAAAACCCACAAATGGACTATTCGAGGAGCTCGCGGGCGACAGATGTAGAAGTGTGGCACAATAGAGGACAAAGTGCATTCACGCAACGTCTAGGTATAATATTACATGCACGCAGTTTCTCAGTCTGTGTAGCGGAGGTTGGTTAGCTGGCGTGGGGTGAAGCAATTCACATACAGAATAATAGAGCTATATGCGCTCAGCACTCTTACCGCATTGTGTATAAGCGGTTTGCTCAGTGTTTTTGCATAAATGTGAAGAGGTTACCTTATGTCACTATGTCACTGAGATATTTTACAAATCTGAGCATCACAAAGGCGCTCGAGTTTAGGAGGAGGAGTCAGGAGCATGGGATTCTTAAAAAATTAAAACGGAGAAGAAGAATAGGAGGAGGAGGGGAGGGGTAGGAAGAGGAAGAGAAATGGTGTAAAGTGTGGGAAAATGGGAAACAGAGGCTTCGTCATCTAAACTCGTTAATACACACGGGCACATCTGATAGCCAAGAGTAGTTTGCTAGTGAAATTATCTTTTGCAAATGTACGGCATTGTGTAATAATTTATGTAATGCACTGATAAGAATATGCTAAGAGTGGCGTGTTTTGAATTTGATTAAAGCACTGCGTCGTTCTCGTATACGGCAAATATATAGCCGTTAGCGTTCATATCTCGTTATACGTAACGCAGTGCTATCAGTGTTCAACACACGCACATGGCTGACGAGGGAAATAGATGAGTGAAGCCATGTGTAGAAACGTCGATGTGTCAGTTGCACGTATCGATGGCTGAGAGATCCACACAGAAGAAACGCCTGATGAAATCTCCCGGCCGGCGAGAACAGCGAGTAAAATCAAATAGGGAATGTAAGACGGGTCCGCTGCGGTTGGCCATGCACCGATGCTTGCCCGCTGCGGTTGGCCATGCACCGATGCTTGCCCGCTGCTTGCTGCGTGCGTTTGAAGAGCTACGAGAAATTGCGGTCTGATGAGATGTCGTTACCTAAGTCCGCCGTGCCCTCGCGCGTGATTCCTACCCGGTTAGCAAAATGTAATTCTCCATGGCGTCCACCCCGGCCCTGCGAAACGTCGAGCCACCCAGCGGTTAGAACATTGATTTCTTTCCGTATCCACGGCAATTGTTCATTATGGTGTCGGCAGCTATAACTCGCGCTATACCCGGCGGCGGCAGAGCGGGGGCGGCGACAGCGCAGCGCAGGCACACCGTAGCCATTCAGGTAGCGCGCAGTGGCGCGGCGCGACAGGGTACGAATGTGTGTTTCGGTGAAAGAGCTCGGCGTGCCTGGGAATTTCCCATTAATAATGCCGCCGTCGCCTCTGCTGCTGCGGTGGTCGTTAGAAAGCGTGAGTGTGGCTTCAGCTGTCGGCTGCTGCGATGGTCGTTAGAAAGCGTGAGTGTGGCTTCAGCTGTCTGCTGCTGGGCAGCGACACGTGTACCGAGATGATCCAGCCAGCTGAGCAGAGGCGAGTGAAGCGACTGTTGTCTTCCTCGATGAAAGAGAGCTTGTCGCGCGAGCGTGCCAGCTTCACGATTCCCCTGAACAATGGATTGACTGTGAATGCTAGCGAGAGAGAGGAATACCAGCTAGAGAGGGGAATATCAACGAGAGAGAGGAATATCAGCGAGAGAGGGGAATATCAGCAAGAGAGGCGAATATCAGCGAGAGAGAAGAATATCAGCGAGAGAGGGGAATATTAGCGAGAGAGGGGAATATCAGCGATAGAGAGGAATATCAGCGAGAGAGGCGAATATCAGCGAGAGAGATGAATATGCGCGCGAGAGAGGAATGTTAGCGAGAGAGCGCGCGCGAGAGAGAGAGGAATATTAGCGTCAAGGAAGAAAATCAACGTGAGAGGGGAATGTTAGCGAGAGAGGGAGAGAGAAAGAGAGGAATTTTAGCATGAGAGAAGAATTTCAACGTGAGAGCTGTGGTCGTATAATGAGTGTTGTGCGAACAACAGAATTCCGAAAGAACCCAAACACTAGAACGTAGCGTGAACAGCAGAATGCAAACATTAACAACAGAAGGAAGACAACATGAACAAAAGAATGTAATTAGGGGCTAATTACAGCCACGCTAGTTGAAAGCTAAGTTATACGCGTGGGAGGCAGTGCAGCCCCTCCCCCTATAATAACCATACAAGTGTTTGCTAATACGCCTAACCAGTTACCAAATAAGATTATTACTAGCCTCAGTGTACGCTCGATACCAGCTCTCAGGCGTAGTGAACCTACGTAGAAAACTGCCAACACGTTGTCTGCACACCTAATTGGCAACCCTATCGCGCTGACAACGCTGCGAAAGAAAATCTGTTCGCAAGAGGGTGATATGCTTGTGCTAGATGCATGGTCACGTGGCATTGTGAAGCCTTGCGACGTGCGTGAGGTGTCTGCTGTACACCGCTGGGCGACGGGGCGAGGCACATGTCCGCATGTACCGCATCTCTCCGACTTGTCGCCACCGTCGTTTCCCGCGCGAGGGAGCCGCAGCGTCTGCTGCACGTGAATGCGTGCTCGCGCGCAGCTATAAATTGCGAATGAATATGCACGCGAGAAGCGTATGCATAGCGCGACCGAGCCGAGCGGAATACGAAGTTTTGAGGAGGGGTGGGTGAATGTGTGTAAAGATCCGCTAGCTGGGTTCGTGGCTGTAAGAAGTACGTGAGGTGCGTGCAGCCGCCGTTTTGTCATTAACTCGCAGAATTTAATTTGGCGCTGAAGTCGATTTTGCATTCATGCGCCCTGTAATAGTGAACTCTCGTGCGCACGTGAACGGTGCCTGGAGCTTCCCCAGCTACCAACTCATTAACGTGTTGTCGCTGCAAGAGCAGCAGCAACGTAACAGCAGCAACGTAACAGCAGCAACGCAACAGCAGCAACGTAACAGCAGCAACGCAACAGCAGTAGCAGCAGCAGCAGCAGCAACAACAACGACGACGACGACGACAACAACAACAACAACAACAACATCAACCACAACGTAACAACAGCAGAAGCAGTAGTAGTAGCAGCGGCAGCAGAAACAACAATAACAACGTAACAACACCAGCAGTAACAGCAACAACAACAAGTCGTTGTAGCACTAGCAGCAGAATTACCAGCAGGAGCAGCAGCAGGACCCCCCCCCCCTCCCCCACCTCCCACACACACACCACCACCTCCGCCACTGCCACCACCAGCACCACGACTACGACTACGACCACCACCACAACCACGACCAACAACAAAAACAACACAACAACAACAACAACAACAACACCAGCAGCAGTAGCAGTAGCCGTAGCAGCAGCAGCAGCAGTCCGTCGGGGTGTGGCAGGCGCCCGATGCCGGGGCGCAGTCCGCCACTCGAGCGATGGCTCCCTCGTGTTGACTCCCATCGGCGCGAATTTAATTAAAGTCGTGGCGAGAGAGAGAGAGAGAGAGAGAGAGAGAGAGAGAGAGAGAGAGAGAGAGAGGAGAGAGAGAGGGAGAGAGATGGAGAGCGAG